TCATAGGCGCTGAGAGCCCCCCCTTAAATCTCTGACACCGTGTCACATTTAATGGGTGAGTCGTCCAAACGCAGGGATGACATGTTACCTGGACTAGACGCTTGCCTCGACAGTCACAAACTGGACATGCTGTCTTTTCTTCCCAATGGGATTTTCTTCCCCTTGCCTCCGGTAGCAAAGAAAACAGCATGGAAGTGAAGCTTTTAACGCTGCGGGGCTTGAAGGGAGATTACCTTACACACTTACATGGACCAATGAGCATTCACACATACACATATTCACACTCATTGCACTCACAAAGACATTTGCACCAAGAATCGAAAAGCTTACATTTATAGTGAAAATGGCATAAGCCTGAGTGGGCTTTTGCAATTTTGTACACAAAAGCATGCACCTTCCCCAGCACTTAAAACAGCTCTAGAGGGTTGTTGACCAAGTCTGAAAGCTGGAACCAGTGCAGCTAGGTGCAAAACGTTACAGCATTTTCTATTTCATATTACAGTTATTACCCAAAAGCAAAACAAAACATAGCCTTAATGATTGTTGGTGTTTAGTACCAGCAGTCCGTTCCTTATTAATTACAAATAAACATTTTTACCACAAGAGCAGGCTTTGCTGTCGGCCTACACATGACATGGATTCACTACTCGACTAAGAGAAGACCTTTTAGTCAGTGTCACAGCTTTGTTGTTCTTGCAGTAAGCGGCTTTATCAGAGTTTCTAACATTAATGAGAGTAACACCCTGTTAATGCTGGAGCACTTTGCTCAATTTTTAATATTGTGAGGCACAATCAACACCAAAAAATCAGTACAGTCTAATAAATAATCCATCTTTAAAATCACTGATCTTTATTGGCTCATTTGAATTGTTAGAAATGAGCCGAAAGACATCGCTGTGGCAGCGGTGACAGGACACATAGAGATCTGGAAGCATTAATTGAATAAAGTTCGAGTTCAGACCAACTCACCCTGACCGCAGCATCCTCTTCTTTTCACCTGATGTTTCAGTAATACAGAAAAACTAGTAGTTATGTGTGAGACGCAAAGTCGGAAAGTTACTGGGCTTTGTTAACTGTTCATTTAGCACTCACATATAGTAGCAGTACTTCAAACACTTTGCTTCTGTGTGTGCTTCCAGGAGAGAGAGTTTTACATCGCCTTCTGGTAGATGATTGCATTCGCTTCTTCCTATCGTGTCTGCACTACTATAGATCACCCGCCAGTCAAACTAGGTCGAGGGCGGCACAGTGGGAATATGATGTTGGCGAAGTTTTTGTTCGTGTTGTTTTTGTTTTCAGCCGTGGCAGATAATGCTGTTCATATTAACTGCCAAGGGATTTTGTTTGTCTTTTGTGCTAAAGAAATTGGAAGTGTCAAACGTATCTGTTATGAGGTGCTGGGACAATTTTTCCCAGGGAACAGCTCCCAGTACATAACCGTGCAGCTTTTACTCTCATTCCAGAGCCTGCGCTAGTATCTCTGTTTTGACAGAGGCCTCAGCTCCAGTGTCAGTCTTTTGTCAGCGAGCTAAGCTTGAGGCTACGGTGAGAGTTTCTTATAGGAAAGCATCGCAGAACAGATCCCCTTACACTCCAGCGCTGGCATTCATGATTTTTTTAAAATCATTTAAATGTTTTTACTGTAACTGATTATTATGTATTTTCAGAATAAAAATAAGTAAAGCATTTTATTTATATTTTTACCATATGATACCAGTGTTAGCTATATTGTAACACAGCTGATACATTTAGATCATAGAGAGATCTTTTTTGTCGACCCGGTATCTCGGTCTCTGGTGGGTTTTGTTTTTTTCCGCTCCCCCTGTCATACTCTCAGACAACCTTCCTCTTGTACACATCTGACACAGCTCGATTGAATTTCACCTCTTGTCACTCTGCTCGCATGGTTTTGCCTCGGAGCCACACACTGACACCCACGTAGACAAACACGCGGAGGAGCACAGGGTGTGTGGTGAGAAGTGACGGCAGAGCAGCGGGCCAGTCATGACAATGCCTTCATGCTAGCACCTGGCCACATGTACGCGTACGTGCGAGCGAGAGAGCCAGAAAGAGGGAGACAGACACCTAATGCCTACACCTCTCCAACACACACCCTGTCAAAAATACAGATGCACTCATGGATGGCTTTACACTCGCTTCCCCCCCCTCCCGGTAGAGAGAGTGAGCTCAGGTAGCTGTCAGGCGCTCCCCCACGGGGAACAGTGGGCCAGTCAAAAACAGCCTCCTCGCCTGTCACTCTGCGCGCTCACACATGCACACGTATAGACGCATTCACACAATGTACTTTGGTGTGGGGAGAGAGACAGAATGAGATGCCTTGGGCAGATGCTGGACCAGTTGTCTGTGCTGCACACATAGAGTTTGTGCTTGTGTGCGTTTGTGTGTCTGCCTATCTGACTCTGTCTCTCTAGTACCACAAAAAGCCACCTGCCAGTGAGCCCAAGCGGACATGCCGCCTTTCGTTTAGTCCTAGCCTGGGAGCCAGTGATAAGAAATAGTTATCTGCGGGTGCATGTGTGTGTGAGTGTGTGACATGTATATACTCAGCGGTGACACTGGCTGCTCGCCTATCTAACCAAGTAGACTTTTTTCAGAGTGGATTTTGGATTTTTATGTGCATTCGTCCATCGATTTTCAATCCGGTTGGTTACCTGTGAGAGTTTGCCATCTCTCTTAACGCCCCTCACCCCACCCCACCCCCCTCCTGGTGCTGAGGCAAGGACGTCACGCCAGCTGGATGCCCAACAGTCCTCTAAATGGGCACAGAGCCACAGCAGCTGTAGCTGCCATAATACGGGTCAATTACTCTCTAAGTTGATGTTGTGTACACATAACACGACCACGTATCCACGTGCGTGTCTGCTGTTTGCTTTGCGAATCCAGCGGCCTCTGACAAAGTTTACAGTTTGCTGCTTCACATTTGATCAAAGCTGAGGTGTCAGTGGGAGGTTGAGGATCAAAGTATTACCATCGCTGCCTGACTTGCGAGACCTTGAAGTGTGTGGCTAACCTTGGTTTGTCTTCGTGTTGCCCCCACCCCGTGCGTGTTTTTCCTGGATGGCGGATCATTGATGTTTCAAAAAGACTGCAGTCTTCTCACAGAGGTGTTGAAAATCAGCTGTCCACAAGACTGCGGGTATCAGCCTGCTGCCTCTCGATTGATTTTAATGTTGTTGCTGACTTTATTGAGGGGGAAAATTCTAACATTGAAACTTCTTCAAAATCAGCAAATGTACATACTGCGCTCGCTCTGCACGGGTGGGCACAGTCTCCCCGAACGAATCGAGCATATGAGCATATGTTTGCTTTACGCCACGATCCCATTTAATCCTCGATGCTTTCGTGTTGCTGAACTGTGTTTCTACAAATATGCCAGTAGCTAATCCGTATTGAGACAAATTTGCCTGGTGTTAAAACATAAACTTCATCTGCATTAACTCATAAAAAGTTCTCGAAGAATCAGTGCGAGAAAAAACAATTTAATTGGACGTGAACAACATCAGGGCCAGTACTGACTAAAGTTCTGAGAGCTTTCTCAGAGAGCTGCTAACATAGCTGAGAAATTTCTGGCAATAATATCCAGCATAGGATTTATTTACATTAATGAGGATGTTTGGCTGACCTTGTTGCTTGGTAGTCTTTTGGTTTTTTTTAATGGATGATGCATTATCTTAGTGATTACAGGCAGAACGAGTAGTGAAATCAACTCATGGCATGTTTACAACAGATCTACTGATGCAGTAGTCCATTTCCATGTGCATAGTTGTTATATTATTAGGTTACCTACATAGATATTTACCATGCTGGTATGTTTAATCCTGTGATAATATTTCATATAAAACGATGGGAATCTCACACTGTTATGTAAGTCTGCAAGTTGTGGAAAATTAAATGAACTGCATCACAGTATAGCAGTGAGAAAGTGCTGTAACCGTTCACTCTGCTGATGAAAACCGGACAGACCCAAATCATCACCGCGCACTGTTGCTGTTATTTCTCTAGTTGCCCAGTATGTTAGTGTTTTGATGATCTTTTTTATTTCTGCTGTTATAACGTTATTGAAGTGGGTGGGAGATGTGAGCCCACCCGTAATTAGATCGACCACAAACATTATCCCTGCGCGGTCTAACCTGCAGCGTTTCATTAGCTCGCTGTCATTCAGCGTTTGGAGAATGTTTCTCCTACCTCTTTGTAGCGCACCGTTGAGTTTGTGCTGGCTGGTTTATGTGATGAGTGGTTTTATTTTGGCAAGTTTTTATACATTACACACAATAGTCAACTATAACTGCGCTGGCAAATGTTGGACTGCATGAATAGTTCATGAAAGCCTTTTTAAATTTGTCTCCATTAGCTGCTGTTTAAAACCAAGAAAAATCGCTCTGCGTTGGCAGCTACCTGCAACCTTTCTTACGTTTCCCATACATGGTTTGATGTTATGAATCAGTCAGCACAGATAGATATCAGTATGACGACTTTTGACCCTAACTTTGTTCAAATGGGCTCTAATTTAGCATTTTAGGAATCATTAGATCAAAAAAAGTGAAAATATTAATATAAAATCACCAGGATATGTAAACTGCAAATATTCTATTTTCCCAAACGTGTCAAAGTGTTGTTCTGGTACGCTTCAATGCCATTACACTTTGTCATGCTTTTTAAAAGGTCTTCCCCAAACTCTGAATGGTTTCACCTTCAGAGCTCTCTTTAAGCTTAAGATGGTTTGCAAATAATTGTTTCCTTTACCAGGATTTAGTTTGAACTTTGTGGGAAAGCATCATAGAATTTTCTTAAAATGCTAGAAACTTCTCTTTGTACTCTGATGCTTTTAAATACAGGCTTCTGTTAAAAGTGCTTAATTGAACTGTGCATTAGGTGTTGGGTGTTTCAGTATTAACTCGACTGAAAATGTATATTCACATTCGGAGTTATCCATATGACATATCCTAACAGCTTCTCCTCTTTGTCGTTCTCTCTGGCAGGCTGCAGAGGGATGCTGTGTGGCTTTGGCGCCGTTTGCGAGCGCAACCCAAATGACCCGTCCAAGGGTGAGTGTGTTTGCAAGAAGGTGGACTGCCCGTCCTTTGTGGCGCCTGTGTGCGGCTCAGATTCGTCCACCTACACCAATGAATGCGAGCTGGAGAAAGCCCAGTGCAACGCACAGCGACGCATCAAGGTGCTGAGCAAGGGAGCCTGCTGTAAGTAACCATCAATCTATCTGCTAACCCTTCCTGGAGACAGCTGCAGAAATTAACCATTTTAGAAATTCACCCCGATCCCTGTGTGAGTCTGAAAAGTGTTCTCTCTCAAACAAATGGAGATTGATCTGAGATAATTCCTTGTGCTTTTTCTGCAAAGTAACTCATTTTCAGAAATCCCTCTGACATTTGTGCAACGATCTGCTTTTTCTGTCTCATCTTGTCTGAAGATTTTAAGGCGGTGATTGTAAGCTTTAACTACCTGTAGAAACGGGGATGAAAAGAAGTCAGTTTGACCTTTGACATTTCAATTCTTGGTATGGTCATGCAACTTTGCAGAAGAAAATAGTTTGGGCAGGTTTGACTGTTGATCTGATGTATTTATGAGATCTCCACAAACCACTAAAATTCGATAGCTTTCTCTGAAGTTTTGTCTTTAACATACACGTGATCTGTACCTTTTAAAAGATCCCCAAACATCCAAATTCTTGGACTGAACAATTTGAGACTGACACTCTCCAGTACATCACAATGAGAGATGAGGGTGAAAGTGGGCAAGCATAGGTGAATTAACATTTTAAAGCATGGCGAATGCGATTGGAATTTTTGGTTCAAATGACAGAAACGGCACTTGTGATGTTCTGACGTTTGCACCAGAGGACGAGCACGGCCACTTAATTTGACAAGCACAAAGCTGCAAGTCTCTGAGTGACACTAAATTGCTTGTTATTGTCAAGTAAATGGATTTCTATTACACCCTGTCCTAATACTACGTGCTGTGCCATCCTATCTTTATCCCACAATAATAAAACACGTCCCCATTACATCCATTCTATTGTCTTTCCAAAATGGCTGTGCTCCCAGGGCTTAAGCGCCACCTGCACCCTCACAAACAAAAAAGTGTGCCACTTACTGCTCCCATTGGTAGCCATCCAGTGTGTATTTTATCCCTAACCCCAGTGGGTGCCAATACTCCTGCTGTACCTCTCATTGCTTCTCTTTACCAAAGCCCATCAAAATCCATGGCTCTAAGGAGCAGATTCCTGCCAAAGCTGCAACATTGCAGCAGCCTCAATGATAACTATAGTGTTTTGTCAGCGTCGTGCCTTTTCTGCCAGTGTGGGCCTACTGCTAATTCCAGGGGTCTGATTACAGTGCAGGCTCGAACCTGGCACTAATAACAAGCTTGGTGGCGGCCCGCTACTGGCAGAGTGGAAATAAAGCGATAGAAAGGACAGAGAGAGGACAGGAGGAACACAGGGTACAGTGGAGGAAAGGGAAAATAGCATTTAAAAAGGGAGGGTATAATGTTAAGAGGAAAGAGCAACGAGACATTAAGACAGGGAGTGCGACACAAGAGCACGTAAGAGAGTACTTTAGTGATTGAACGAGTGAACAGATTACGAGAGAAGATCAAAACCAGAGGGAGAAAGTAGTAGCATAAGTGGTTTAATGATGGTTTATGGAGGGTTAAGGCCATCAGAAGCACCATAATTGGCCTTAGCAAAACAGCAGCCAGTCACAAGGAAAGAAATAAAGTAAAAAATAATAGTAACGATTATGCTAATGATAGTATTGCTGGTAATAACTACATGCTGGCCACCAGAGCAGACTTCCTCTCTTATCCCGTCACATCTGGAAGGAATTTTCTTTTCATTCCTCTGTTGGCTGTGATTCTGAGAGCCCAATGTGATTATTACTAATGGCAAAGCCTGATTTATGTCAGCATTTTCATGCAGTCACTGGATGTGGAGGAGGCAGGTGTGTAGTGTTTAATCAGCGGATGGCATCCTTAGCTCTAGCCTTGCTACGTTATGTACTTGTGCTTCTGTAACACAACCGGTGTCACTGTGATTTATGGTGTGATCAGTTTAATCAATGCAAAAGTAAAAATGACTCATTTAATTAACTCCGGCTTCCACCAACATCCATTCAACATGGTTTGATTTACAGTTCCATTATTGTATACTTAAAGCAGAGTTTACAGTTCTGTTGAAAATTGACAAATTTGCTATTTTCTGATGCGATTTTTTTCTGACAATCTTCTGATTGGTAGAAACGTTGAGAGCTGAGAGAACCAACCCTGGGAATCTATGTTTTAAACAAGCTGCCAGGTACTGATGAAGGTGACCTTAAAGCTTAAACAGCAGGTTATCGGTGCTTTTATTATCTTAAACTCACAATATTTGGTTTTGTCCCGAGTGACACATGAATAGCTTTGAAAATCAGAAAGCAATCTTTTAAATTCATCCTTCTTTCTTACCCGTGCTATTTCTGATTTGCAACATATTTTGTATAGCAGTGAAAGCAGTCACTGTCGAGTGAGTGTAGACGAACCACACAGCTAGCTAACATCTGGTCAGTTTATTTACTTTTGCATTTATTGCAACATCCTTGTTAAAAGCTCCCACATATGTCTTATAGACAGAATTGAGAAGGGCAGACGGCTAGAGAATTAAAAGAAGTGTTTTACTGTGGGATGGAAGGGTCAGCCAAGGAGTAAGCAACAGTCTAACATTCATCAATATTCATATGTGTGTGTTTGAATGAATTCAAGGATGTTTGCACTTAGAAGGTACATACAGCAGGTACGGTATACGCTGTGAGTGTGAAAGAGGAAGAGAGCGTGCGTGTTAGGAGGTCAGCGCAAGCCAGGTGACAGGTTCTGATTCTCACTCTGCTCTCAATAAATTCAGCCCCTACAGAGGGCTTGGACGGGCCACTTGGCTGAGATTATGGAGTTGTCAGTGCTGACGGAGGAAGAGAGAGGCAAAGGAGGGAAGGAGGAAGAGCGGTAGAAAGGTGAGGGAGTGAGAAAGCTTTTAACTTTAAGAAAATACGGGCAGCTGAATTGGTGCTTTTGTGCGAAGCCTCGTTTGACTCTTTCGATTTGAATGGCGGGTTTTCATCGGGGTAAGTGAATTGGCTACCGTTGTGTGAAGCCGTCATGTTCAATTCAAATCAAGTCTTATCTGGCACTCAGGAGGAAAGCCACAAAAGAAGTTTTTATTTCTCTCACAGATTATGCCCCTTATGTTTGTTTTTTTTTTTTTTTTAAAGGATGGGAGTTACATCACATGGGAGCATTTTGTTACCACCAAGTACAACTTTGGAGCTTGGGGTATGTTTTGTTGCAAACAGGAGGAAGCTGTAACCAGCAAGTCCCTGACATCTGCAGGATGCTGACACCTCCAAATGTCGGCTTTCGGGCGCTTACTTCCTACTTCGCTGCTGCTGACATCACAGTGCTGTTCTCCAGTTAATTACTGACATATTGTGCTTCGACTTTCAAGAGGTTTTTACAGGCACTTTAGCTACGGTCACAGCTTTGAACACCAAATAAGGTGGCTTGTTTACAACCTAGACTTTGACAGATGCCCGTGTCCTCCCACTATTCCCATTGCACAGTTCACCTTAGCTCAGTTTCACTCGGCAGTGAAAAGAAAATTCCCCTTAAAACATGTCCATTTAGCACCTCACTCATAAAACTGAACTGGCTATTATGACATTTTAGTTCCAAGAAAATGGTCTAAGTTCCCTCCTGAGGGCAGGACAAAATGACCCATTCGTTGTTGAGGTGCAGGCACTTAGTTTCCCTCCACTGCTCCACTCTGATATTCACATAACCTGCCCCTTAATGGTTCAGACCATCTCCGACCCAGCTTCTTCATTATCTTTCTTTTGTTCTAGATGGATGATTTGGGATCGGTGGGGTTACATTTCCGGCAGTCAAGCAGGCAGGCGGTGAGCACATAATGGCTTCAGATATTATCGAAATTAAAAGGAGAGGCCGCGTTTAAATTGGCCCCGCAGGAGTGACCGATAACAACACGAGGTGATAAAAAAAAAGAAGAAAGAAAAAAAAAAGTGGCCAGTTAAGAAAAAGAAGACCTCAGAGAGGGAGGGAGAGAGAAAAAGCTCAGACACTTTCTGGTTTAGAGAGAGACAAGAGACATTTGGGGAACTGTGTGTGCGTACGTTTGTGTGTTTGTGCACGTTCTACAGTCAGCTTGGGGACGTGCACCACGTCTACTGTCCTAATGTTGAATCAGAGCAGAGTGGTAAATACACTCCCTTTCCCAGAGAGAGACACAGAAGTGCTGCAGAACTCATCTTGTGTGGCCACTCTAGTGGAACATGGAGTTTTCATTCTTCTTTACTCCCCCCCCCCCCCCAGAAAAAAGTGGAGAGCATGCGCGTGTGGGTGAGGTGACTGGGGTTCGAGAGTGTGGTCGATGGGAGATTGATTTTATGTATGTGTGAGAGCGCACGTGTGTGTTCTCGAGAGTTGGCTATCAGCACGGCCCCCTACCTTCTGCTCAGTCACTCCACTCTGCTCTCTCGCTCTCTGCACTTTAGAGAAGGTTTTTATCTCTCCAGCACCGAAACACTCTCGAGTCTTCACAGTGAAAGGAGAAAAGGCATCAGTGCTCCACACCTGCTTCTCTGTCTGCTCTTATATACTGCAGGCAGGCCCAGTGTGAGAGGGATGTGAACTGCTCCTTAAACATAAAGCAGTACACTCCTACTTGTTGTATTTAGTTGTAGCATATAAAAAAAATATATCAGAGCTGGTTCGAATACATTTTGCAGCAAACAAATGAAGTCCTCTGTTCCTGGGAAGAGGCACAAATGATTAACTGAAAATGAGTTGGTGTACACCCACCTGTACCTGACGTATTTGTACGTTACCAAACAAAAGCAGGCGCAGCAGATTTATATAACGAAACAAATGTCAAAGTGTCTGATGAGAGTTGTCATTATGCACGGGTTTACTTTGGCGCACTTTGTGTCTCGTGTCTAATGACGCTTTATTGTGTGGTTGCGAGCGTGCCTGCACGCAAACAGGCAAACATGCATGAAACGGACCAATCAGGAAGAAGAAAGGGAATATCTATTGAAAGAAGTGTTAATCTTTCCTATAAAACAGCATAATTTTTTTTTTACAAACGGTACAGTACTGTGCAAAACTCTTGAGCCATCCATTATTTCTTCATATT